TAACGCCTCTAGTGTTCAAGGCGTCCATGGGCAGCGCCGATTGCTTACCATCAGGTGATCTGTTTGCTCGTTTACTCAATTATTCCATAAAAGCGACATACAAAGTAAGATAACATCTTAATGTGCGAGAAAATACAGTGATTACCTATGTGTTCGACTTTCCGTGTCATCGTAGACATAGTTGAAGGAAATGTGTTACTTAACGCGATGAGCTAACAAGCTACTAGTTAGGTACCCAAGTTGTGCTTACGCTTATTGGTACTTAACTTTAATATGTTCCCATAGACTTAAATACAACCAATAAGAAGGATTTTTCTTAACTCCTGCGCATTAAATATTGCCATCAATAAGTTTAGTTTATAATAACTATCGTGAGACATACTAAATTAACTAAAATTGCGGGTTACTCATGTGAATATGTGTAAATAAATGGTGGTTCGAAACTAGTAGAGCTTTTCTCAGTATATTCACGTGATTAACTCGCGATTTTAGTTAACTTTAGTTTAGGAGTAAGCAGGACAAAAAATGCATCAGTTTCTTTGGAATAAATAAAATATCACAAACCTTGCTGAGGTCTTACTCTGTTTTTTGAGATAATGTAAACATTTACACTTCAACCGGATAACACTACCTGTAGATATATATTTGTTCCGCCAGAGCATAAAACCTACAATTGCTTAGCAAATGATACCTCTCTACTACAACTATTTTTTCTTCTTTGGGAATTTAATGATTGAATTTATTTGTCTAAATTATTGAAACGTAAGTTACTGGTAGATAACAATACAGGTTTTTGAGTTTTACAGTACTTATTATTATAACATGATCTATTTGTTTGTTTGGATCAAATTTAATAATTAGAATTTTATCCCCTTCCTCACGACAGATCGATCTGAAATTTAACACACAGTCCTAATCTTGATAATTATACAATAAACAATATAATATTTTTTTTACAACTGAATCCATAATGGATTTCAAACAAAGAGGGTTCATCGGCAGAATAAATCCATTCAACATAAAAAATAGTTTTATGTATTCCAATCCCACCATCCTCCAACTACCATCTAACATAAAGTTTTTTCTTTACCCGGAACTTCCTATACGAATACATACAGTAGAAGGTAACCCTATAAAACTTAAAGGCCTAAGGCTCGAAAGTTTTTTTATAAATTCAATATTCTAGGTTAGAGGCAGTAACGCAACACCATTGTATGTCGACCTCGTGTCACTGAACTGAGCACAATGGTCGTGAGAAATCACCATAATAATTGTTTAAACGTTAAAACTCCTTCGTTCTTCGTGTAACTGCTTTTTGCAAAGGAGGAACTTCGCTGTTAATTCTTTTGTGTAAAAACTTCTTGTTGAGAATTGATTTAGGGTTGTTATGTGTCTATTGGAGTGACGAATAATAGGTATTTTTTAGGAGAAAAAACAGCTCATTCTTCATGCTATTGAAGAGGTTTGATCTTACATTGGATAATAATGCTATTAAATACCTACGTTTTAATAGTGCTTCGGAAATAAAAACTGCTACCAAAAAAGGAACAAATTAACTCGTCGAGTACCGGTTTTATAGACACAATTAAAGAACAATAGGTCGCGGTCACCGGTGACCGCTTGGTGTTTGACAGTTTAAATCGAATTTCTTTTTGCTAGAAAAGACAGCGTAATAAAAATATGTAGTTTTGATAGTTACTTAAATATGTTCGTCCCTACGAGTACTTACGTTTCATTCTAAATACGAAATTATAGGTATGCGACCAATGTAATCAGTATTAGGTACTTGTTAGCCAAGTAATAAAATTGACTATTTTCAAATATTCGACGTATATTATTATTGAGTAGGTACTTACTAGACACAGTGAAAGTCGTTAGAGAGAACACCTAAATAAACAAGAGTTCGGTATAGATAGTTATTTGTTTTTTGCACAATAAAACTATTCTCTGGTTCTTACTCATTTGCTCTAGATGTCAATTTTAGATGTCCGTGTAACTTTCATCATATTTATTGTACCTGATTGATATTGCTTCAGTGGTCTAGTGGTCGCAAGCGCAACTGATGAGCATGAAGTTCTTTTGTACTGGACAAATTATTATTAGGTTGTTAGGTTTCAAATTCTTAGTAGACTTTGGAGGCTGGAATTATGATTATTTTTTACTAGCTACTTCCGCGCGGTTTCACTCGCTCTGCTCAGCGCCTATTAATAGTAGCGTGATATTTTATAGCCTGTAGCCTTCCTCGATGAATGGGCTATCTAACACAGAAAGAATTTTTCAAATCGGACTAGTAGTTTCGGATTAGCGCGTCCAAACAAACAAACAAACAAAAAAACAAACTCTTCAGCTTTATAATATTTATATTAGTATAGATTGTATTTCATTCGATGTTCTTAGTTTTTTACAACTTTATCAGTTGCATAAATTTTATAAATCTCTACTTAAAGTTGCGATGCTATATTATTACCATAAAATATACTAAAAGTGTTATTAACTACACATCAAAAGAACCGTTAACAATCAGTTTAACAACAATCAATTAATCTTAGTATGGCGATCCAAGCGATCGATATAACACGCATAATGATAACAATGACTAAGATATAAATAAAACTGGTTCGTCTTTTACGACACGTTATGTGTGTCGTCACATACAGACTCAGCATTTTACAAGAATTTGGATCAAAGTAGTATTTACGTAATAAGGTTATAATAATTATTCTTAATATGGTAATCGAATATTGGTATCTACATTACGCTGATTGCGCAAAAGCAGTTTGAGAGTAGATACCATATTGGTTTTTGGTGGTGCTTCGTGATTTCTTCCTTTATGAAATAAAGGTTTCAGTGAAGTTTCAGAATGTATGTAACGAATGTCAGATGCCTGGCTGTAGCAAGTGATTATTTTTTGTATTTAATGGGCCAACGTTTGACCACTAAAGTGTAAGTGTAAAGTTTTTTTTCTATATAATTGAAGTGTAAATTATTATAACATAACATAACAACATCACGCCTTTTATCCCCGAAGGGGTAGGCAGAGGTGCACATTATGCCACTACAATGTAACACCCACTTTTCACTATTTATATTATGAGTCCCATGTAATAGAGGGTGAGCCTATTGCTATATACCGGGCACAATTCCAGACGCCGTGCTACTACTGAGGTTTTTTTAAAAACCCAGTAATATTTTGCCCGACCTGGGAATCGAACCCGAGGCCCCTTGCTCGGCTGTCGCGCTTGCGACCACTCGGCAAACGAGGCAGTCGTAAATTATTATCTTATACTCATTAATCGTTTTTAGTTTTCTAGTATAACTTAACTCAACACTGTATACATTAACTTAAAACCATCGTCTGTTCAATTAATAAAATTATTGAATGTACGAACACACAAGTATATTCCATTCTCGCATTAAGGTGAAGGGGATGTATAAATGTTAGCAATCCAGTTGACTTTGACATTTCCTTGTACAAAGATTGCACTAACACATTCTTAAATTCTAATTAGGTACTCAAATGAGTCTACATATACAAGCAATACTAGATACATAAGTATTTCCAATATTTCAAATTATTTTTGAATATTTTAGAATACCTTTAATGACTGTCCTATTTATTATGTACATTATGGTACTAATAAAGTTCATAGAATTTACGATAGGTGTGTTAACGGACACTACCCTGCCTACTTACCCGATTTTCACTAGTTGCTGCGAACATATTCCAATGAGCGACTTTATTCACGAACCACATTTTGCGGTCAGACCGACACTCTCGCCTCAACTTGCATCAGTGTTTTGTTTTGCAACATAGTGATATTTAGCCGATGATATCTAGGCATCGTTAGCATTTGTTTTTGTTACATTGTGAACACAATAGAACATGTTCTGACATGGTTTACAAGAGACACTGGATGGTGTCTTCTATAGATAGTAAGCAAGGTTTAATCTGGATGTTTCATCATCATCAGCCGGTATCAGTCATCTTCTTTGACGTCATTCATTTTAAAGGAGTTTCCTATAATCCCCGTGCTTTCGTTCTTCGTGAATTGCTGTAAAGTTACCGAAAAAATAAACAATGATGCCCATTTCATCAGAAGTTATCTCAGTTTTAGGACTGACAGTGTTGTCCAATATGAGGCAAGTTTAGATACTCTAAAATTATAGTTATAAAACTGGAGGATGTGAGGAGGATTTTCTGCAATAACAGATTGATATTTTTCGTGCTATATAAATATTGCTGTATATTTTATTGCGTTTAATGACTTATTAACTAATAACATCTTTTTAAAAGGTTACATACAGGATGTTGCATGAAAATGTTACTAGTCTTGACTGTTAAACATTAATATGAGACATATATAGCATATTTGTTTAGTTATTGGTTTATTTATTTACTTCGTAATTTCTATTGTTGAATAAATGTCCTTGCTACCTTAAGTTACAAAACACCACAATATTTGTTGAAATATAATACTTGAGTCAGCCTAACGTAATAATTGCGACTACTAAACCCACAAGGTAGTTGACAGAACCACCATTATACCCATTATACAATCGCGATTGTTCGTTTCCCTAAGATTATATCCACAGAGATATGAAACATGGTTTGTTAATGGTGTATTACAAACTAGTTGGAATGTAACAAGTCAGTGGCCAGACTATTGAGAAATAATAAATAAACTAAAGCGACAGGTTGGTAAGTAAAGCCATTGAGATATGTATTTATTTTGTTAAATTAATCTGTACGCAAATACATACAAGAATAAATTCACAACTACAACTTTAACAAACGAACAACCTTACCAATGAATCTTTTATTATTTTTATCCAGTTCATTTGTCACGGAGAACCTAACGGGTGGGTTTTTAGTCAGTAAGAGTCTGACATTCCCTCCCGCCTCACCCAGGCGGGAGCAGAAATTCGATAGTTTCCGCTCTTGAAAAAAATCCAGATCATTTTTAAGTTTCCTGTAGTTATCATATGAATGACAATCGAAAATGAGGTAGGTTCTACGACACAATATTAATATTCGGAAAGAAAAATAAAGATTAACGAAAGCTCTATAAGAATTTTCAAATACATACTAGAGGTACATTGCAGTGTCAGTAAGTGCCGTAATGTACACCTCTGCATACCCTTCGGAGATATAAGGTGTGATATTGTGTTATACTACTCATTTTGTTTGACATTATTGTTTAGTTTAGGACTTAATTTTGAGATCAGCTTCTGTGATTGATTCTATGAGTGACTATACCATCGATTAAAACATTACCATTCGTCTTTCCAAAGTTTCAAAACGTCTAACGCACTTACTACACAATAAAACTGTAATCTAACACCTCCTATACCGGTATACCGGCACAACACAACTAGTTCAGTAACTTACTTAACTAAGCAACCAGCTATAATTAATATTATGTATACTTATTTAAAGTTACGTATAAAAATGTTGATGGTTATGAGTGTTCACGCTCGAAGGGAGAAGACCTCGAAAATATTTCGTATTTACATTATAATTAGGCAGTATGTTTGTGTTTTTGGTTTCTTAGTTCGTGGTATATGATGTGCCGTTATTATTTGTCGTAGGTACTCATGGTGTATGGGTAATATTTCTATAGAAAGATTAGTTCTTATGCGGTAAATGATGTCGTTATCCTACTTACCTATGATGGCTAGTTAATACAAGAAATATAAAAACAATTAAATTAGTTTATTGGTATATGGTTTATTGCGTTTTATATTTTTCCCTAGGAGGAAATATGTGTATTATTATGTAAATTTAAATACCGTTTTTGGTTAAAACCTTACATCACTATTTAGAGATATAATAAGTACTAATTTTTTCTCTTTATGACCTCTAATAATATTACAGCAAATTTTGTTTAAGATTCATCTACGTGTTCTTATTCGGTATACTTTCTCAATTCCAGGATGGCCGAAATAATATTCCAGCGGCGAAAGATCCCAACAGTAGTATCAGACCCAAACCCTCTGATAATCCTACTGATACTCTCCCTGCTACAGTCATGTTGGTCGCAAGTGATCAACAGAGCCCCACACTTCGTGCCTCAGATAGGGGACATGTCACAATTCAGTTTATCTGAAGACACACCTGTTGGAACACCGGTTTATCATTTAAAAGGTAAAGCTAGATTTTCTCTTCATGTTAACTAGTACGACTGGTTCGCTGTATGACAAGATAGTCATATTTTTATCCTATGTAGGATTGTGGTTTAGCAGAATAAGTATCACACATTTCTAATTACCAATATCTGCCACGAAGCTCAACGTCTTCAGTGGCACAAACTTAACAAATTTGGAGCAAAATCAAAGCAAAAGCAACATCAATGTGGTTTTTAAATATTCGTAAGAACTTTCATACTAGTATTAAACGTATTCTATGGAGAGGAAAACAAATAATGTCACTAACAATAATTAACTAATGTTAAAGTTTATACATATTAAAAAAAAGTATATTCTTTTATTATAATCTATTATATTTATATTTCCAGGGGTTGATCCAGAAAATGGTCCACTGCGATACTCAATATCTGGGCAGTACTTCTCAGTGGACTCGTTGACGGGAGTTGTGACTCTCGCCAAGACCCTGGACAGGGAGGAGCAGAACGCTTTGGAAGTCATCATCAGTATAACAGGTATAAAGATATAAGGAAAAACTAAAATTTCACTGTAACATTTCTTACATTTGTTACCTATCTAAGGAAAGTTCCTTTCTTCTTCTTTCTTTCCTTTAGAGAACGACGATAGTGAACATGAACCTTTTGATCTATAATTACCAATGAGCCTGTCAAGCGCGGAACATTTGTGGTATACCTTCTTATCTAAAGTAGGTGTATAGTCTAGTAGTGAGCTGTCACAATTCTGTTAGTGTTGGTAAATTATCCCTGTATATACATATATAAATTATAGGCAAAGACAAAAGACGTTTTTGACGTTTATTACTTTCTGCAGTCTACGGAAATTCGTTTGGCCTCGGTTAGAAAGTTCCGAGTCAGTCCAGTAAACATATATCTACCAGAAACAATTCTCACATTACCAATACTTTGTTAATTTGCTAATTGTTTCCGTCCGTTTCATTGCTTCGTAACGGTTTTTTAAGGTTATTGCTTTTACAATGTAAACGGTTTACTTAACTTTAACTTTTTGTTTTAAAATGAATTAAAATTTTACTATTTCTGAAATTTTGTATAAAAAATAACCTGTATATTGTCTCATTGCTAACCAAACGTCGCCTTTCACACTTACATATACGTATTGTTATATTTTCAAGTAAAATGTAACAAGATTAGGTATTACTGAATCGTTTGTTGTTTTAAGCTGGAAATTTAGATTTGATACTAATTATTACTGTTATGTTACAGATGAAGGTATAGCCAACACTGAGCCCAACACGATATCATTAAGACGTGTTATACCAGTGAAGGATGTGAATGACAATCCACCCATCTTCCATAACAGGCCTTACATTGTCAATATCAGTGAAGCCACAACTGTTGGGACTGAGATTGAGGTGAGTAGAAATAGTATAATTTATATAATTACGTGTAGGGTGCAAAAATAAGTACAGTCTTTTTATGAAAGTATTTTATTTCTGAAATCCAATTGTCTCAGTAACATGCAAGGTGAAAATTAAAGAGCAACCAGATCAATATTATATTTTTAACCAAAAAAAATCTAAACCAGATTTTTTTGTCTTGGTTCAAAATGCATGTTGAATACAAAAATATGATATTGTTAATGATCACATTACAGGTAAACCCAAAGATAACGGTAACAGATCGTGATGAAGGAGAGAATGCAAGAATACGAGTGACATGTTCTACCAAAGAGAAAGGAAGCGACTCAGAAGCATGTGCCACGTTTAGAGTCGAAACTGATATGGTAAGTGACAATCGTGTTAAACTAAAATATATACATGGAGTAACAGATTATTTAAAAGAAGATAATAATTATTCTGATAGTTACCACAGAAGAGCTATTTGCTTATTTACCTCCTGTTCCATTTAAAAGCAGGTGTCCGTTTCATATCAATTTTAAAAAAATCTGTTCGTATAAGGAAAATTATACTTTAAGCCCCGAAAAAACTTATATATGACTAACTTTGGATTCCTTTGATTAATTATTAATCAATTCTCTACAACCAAGCAAGTCAAATGAAATGAAGAAATATCATATTGATCTTTATTTTCTATTTACAGATAACACCAAACGAATACCAAGTACGACTGTTTCTAAATCAACCTCTAGACTTTGAGAGTAGATCAGCATACGTCATCAGTTTAGAAGCAACTGATTCATCAGATAGACCATTGAGAGCGCTCGCTAGTGTTTCAGTCGCAGTATGGGACGTTCAAGATCAACCACCGATGTTCTTGAATGCGCCATTTTCAGCTACTGTGCCGGAAAATACTCTACCGGTAAGAGGAATTAAATTATTCTCGAAATTTATTCAATTATTAGAGATTTGAGGGATCAAGTTCCGTCCTTCTTAAAGTTATTTTCAAATACATTTGAGAACCAACCATCTATGGTTCGTTATTTAAAATGTGTGCCTTTTCAGAATACCAGCATTATGGACATTATAGCCAAAGATGGAGACACAGCCAACCCTCGACCAGTTTTGTTGACCCTCGAAGGTGATACTGAACAGTACTTCAAGTTGCTACCCGACAGACCTTTGGGACGAGCTACGCTGGTGGCTTCAGACATTCCTATTGACAGAGAAAGTGATGTCGTAATGCAAAATGGAGGCGTCTACAGCTTCTTTGTCAAGGTATTCACGACTTTTTAACAATGTAATATTTATACTGATGTTTGACTATCGATAAACGTATAATTTAAAATACTATTTTATTATTTTTAGGCTACAGAAATGATAAACAATGAAGTGCCATCAGACTTTACAGTGACCACTATAACCATTATTGTAACTGATGTTGATGATCATGTGCCAAAGTTCAATAAAGAGGAGTTTGATATTTCAATTCCTGAGAATATAGAGAACGGTAGTCCAATCCCGGGTTTATCAATATACGTTGAAGATCATGACATAGGTCAAAACAGTAAATATGATTTAAAGTTGAGGGATGTCTGGAATTCTGAAGGTGTATTTTCGATTAGTACAGACCATGGTGAAGGAAGAACCCCAATTAGCATCAAAGTTAAAGATTCTTCGAAGTTAGATTATGAAGTAGATGATGACGAGAAACGACTATTTAGTTTCGATATCGTTACATCTGCTAATGGAGTAGAATTATCTTCAGCTCGAGTTAATATAAAACTTCTTGATATGAATGACAACACACCTATTTTCCAAGAACCTACCTATAAATTCAATGTTCCTGAAAACGCAACTATTGGAACTAAAATAGGCGATGTGTATGCTACGGACCGAGACTATGGAATATTTGGTGAGATTGAGTACACTTTGACTGGTTTTGGATCAAATATGTTCAAGACTGATAAAAATACAGGTGGTGTGTATGTAAGACAGATACTAGATTATGAAAAGCAGAAAAGCTATAGTCTAACACTATTTGCTAAAGATGGAGGAGGAAAAGGATCGACTGCAAGTATTTTTATAGATGTACTGGATGTTAATGATAACGCTCCTCTATTTGAAGCTGCAGAATACAGTAGAACAATTAGAGATGGTGCTACAAGCTTTGAGCCACAATTCGTTATTCGTGTAAGTATATTTATTTATTATTTATGTGCATACATCAAAAAGGACGACACATATTTAAAATCGGAGTACACACATAGGTCCCATATTTTATAAAAGTTCAGATATATTTATCGTCAATTCAAATTATCTCATAGGTGATGTTTTTGTTTTTCTCTAGGCTACTGATGCTGATGGTCCGACTCAAGGTGATGGCCAAATTAAATACTCATTAGAATCTGACAACAGTATTAGTCGCAAAGGCAATGTGTTCACCATAGATGAAGAAACGGGAGAAATAAGTATCATTGAAAAAGTTGATAGTATGGATACTCCTCGTGGACAATATGAATTAGTAGTAAGGGCTACGGATTATGGTGAGTACTTTTGAAAGCGATGTTCTATAACATAACATCATCACGCCTTTTATCCCCGAAGGGGTAGGCAGAGGTGCAAATTATGCCACTGTACAATGTAACACCCACTTTTCACTATTTATGTTATGAGTTCCATGTAATAGGGGGTGAGCCGATTGCCATATACCGGGCACAATTCTAGACTCCGTGCTACTACTGAGAATTTTTTAAAAACCCAGTAATACTTTGCCCGACCCGGGAATCGAACCCGAGACCCCTTGCCCGGCAGTCGCACTTGCAACCACTCGGCCAACGAGGCAGTCTTGTTATGTTCTATAAAACTTAAAGGAACTTATTGTCAACCAAACTCGAAAGTATTTTCAATTTATTATTTCAGGTATTCCACCACTCCATAACGAAACCCGAGTTTACATTCGCGTAGGAGTTCCTGGTAATCAAAGACCTACTTTTAAGGGTAACTATCATCACTACAAATATACTATCTCCCAAAATAGCCCAGAAACCACAGAAGACTTCACATTTGATTTAAATCCAATGAACTACAAGGCAAATATAAGAGAAGACGCTAAACCTGGACAGAATGTGACCATGGTAGTGGCTAATGATCCCGATGGTCTCGATGATTTACTCACGTATCACATTGTATCAGGGTCAAGAGATAATTTCATTATAAATGAGAAGTAAGTAATAACAACGACATAAATAAATTTGAGAACCTAACTTACCTAACACTTTTATTAAATATTACTATTTTGTTTTTCATTCTAGGTCTGGTCTTATTACAGTATCCAACGACGCTAACTTAGATAGAGACATTAACCCGGAACGATACGAAATCATTGTATCAGCTGTCGACAGTGGAATGCCTATACCAGAAACAGCCACTACTACAGTTTTTGTTACTATACAAGATGTAAATGATAAACCACCAAAATTTAATGTGACTGAATCAACTACACATATTTCTGAGAAAGCTAAAATAGACGATTTAGTAACAAAAATTACGGCTTACGATACAGATGTCAATGCAAAGCTACAATACAGTATTGTACAGCCAATTAAAGCCCTTTCTAAAGCTGGTGTTCAACTAAAACCTAACTCGCCGTATGATTACAAACATATTTTCCGAATTAACGAAGATACTGGAGAAATATTTGTTAATGGAACGTTGGATTACAGCATGGCATCAATAGTAATATTGACAATCAAAGTTGTAGATGTTAATGCAGAAATCAACAAGGATAAACAATTTGCTGTCATAGAACATACTATTTATATACAGCCTTACGCTGATAAAAACCCACAATTTACAAATGCTGGTTGGACTAGTTCAAATCCAGTAATATACCACAAAATTAAAGAAGAACAGCCTATTGGAAGTACTGTTCTTGTTTTGACAGCTGAAGATCCAGTTTCTGGACATGTAGTGTCCAGTTACAAGGTTATAAATGCAGAAACTGGACTACTTCAAGTAGATCCTCTCAGTGGTCAAGTTGTTTTAACTAAACATTTAGATTATGAAGACTTAACGACTCCTAATTTGACAATAACCGTCAAAGCCGCAAGTAATGATGGTAGTAAGCATAGTATTGCTAAAATTATTATAGAAGTTATGAATATCAACGACAATCCACCTATTTTTGAAAAAGATGTATGTATATTATTACTTTTCAAGAAAACAATATGTTTAAGCAACGTATTCTCATAAACAAACTATTTTCTAGCTCTACAAAGTCAGCGTTTTGGAGTCTGTAAAATATCCAGAACAAATTGTTATGGTCAAAGCTCATGATGCTGATGCCGTATTAACTGAAGAAGATAAAGTAAAAGGTTATTCTGATATCAGATATACGTTGAGAGGCGAGAATTCTGACCTGTTTAAAATTGATAATGTTACTGGATCCATACAGGTAACTAATATAGGAGAATTATATAATAATTTTATTCTATAGTTTTACATTTTAAAGATTTTATGTCCTGGATGCATAAATTTCAGGTAGCCGAAAATAAAACATTAGACAGAGAACGACAATCAGTTCTTCGGATGGAAATTGAAGCAGCTGACACTCCGAACGGTGGAGCTGATAAGTTGAAGGCCACTGCTACAATTCTAGTAGATGTTCTTGATGTTGATGATAACTCACCCCAATTTGAGAAAAATGTTTATACAGGTAAGACAGTAACATATATTATGAACAGTGTGTCCGTAATTTCATCAGTTATACGAATTTTTGTTTCAAGTTTATCTGAATTTACAGCTGTAGTGCCAGAAAACGTACCAATCGGCATAAGCGTTATAAACGTGACGGCTACAGATCCCGATGAAGGATTGGGTGGAGAAATCAAATACGACTTCTTAGACGAAGGCGAAGCTAATGGTAAGCAAAATAAAGACAACTCATTTAACTAATTAAACTAATGTAATGTAATGATAATGACTATAATGAATATTCTGTTTGTTAGGACTATTTACAATAGACGCTGTAACAGGAGAAATCAAAACTCGTAAAGTTCTTACTGGCCGTGGTCGCACAGATCCTTATAGACTGCTTGTTGGTGCCACTGATGGTGGAGGACATTCTGGAGATACGTCATTATCTTTGTACATCGGTGATGTTAGCGCTAATGATGGAGTACCTAGATTTATTAGACCGGCTGCTGGAGAAATACTAAGTATTAGTGAGGTGAAGCTTATTTTCTTTTGATTCTAAATACGTATCGACAAGAAAATCTTAAAAGTCGTTCATGGTTTTATGGTACTCTTTTTACAGAACGCAACTATAGGATCTGCAGTATACCAAGTGGTAGCAAGTGACCCTGATGATCCAACTCAACCTTCTGGACAATTGTTCTATTCTATACAACCGAGCAATCCTGATGCCAAGATTTTCGCTATTGGTAAATGTCATTCAATAAATTCAAGTTTTAAATAAACGATTTTCAAGTGCGTATTAACAATCTATTTTAAATTCAGATCCTCACTCTGGTCAAATAACAACAAGACAGTCGCTAGACAGGGAGAGAAAGGCATCATATACATTGGTGCTACTAGTCACTGACAGAGGTCAACCACCTCAACAAAGTACCAGAATTGTTACAGTCATGGTCACTGATGTTGATGATCATAAGCCACACTTTGGAAGAAACTCGGTAAGAAAGATTACAAATACAATAGTCAGTGAGGAAACATTGATAAAAGTAAACTGCCTCCATCGTTTTATAACTACCGCTACCTTCCTTCTTAATGAATTGAAATTTTGACAAGGGATATTTTGACTAATTTTTATTTTTTAGGATGACCCACCAGTTTTAATGACAGTAAAAGAAGAAGTTCCCATTGGAACTGTGATTGGTCAACTTGAAGCCATTGATGAGGATATAGACGAGAATGCTGCTATCGATTACGCTATTACAGGTAAGTTAAATTACCCCAGTCGATTTCTAACCTTTTAAATAACAGTGTTAAATTATTTTTGTTTGTCTTTTTTCCCCATTGTTTTCTTTCTTTTATTGGAAACGGTATACAAATAGATAATTTTATTCTTTGCAGTTGGTAATGACTTTGGCTTGCTGAAACTAGAAAGGACGAACGACAGCAAGGCTTTAATTATAGCAGCAGCGAGACTGGACAGAGAGACGCTGTCGAAGCAACTGATTACTGTTAAATGCTTCAAGTACGGCACTAAGCCGAGACTAACCAAGTCGTATAACAGATTGGTAAGATATACGTAAATTTAATTTTATTGCTACTACCTGCTTAGCACGCAATCTTACATGATTGATATAAATTAATGTAAGGTAATGATATACTAGGACTTTATGGAGTTGAAGGCACCGTAAGATGTCTGGTAGTTAACTATTTTGTAATAAGTTGTATGAAGGCCAAAATTGTACTTACTGTTTTTTCATATTTTTTCAGGATCCCTCAGAAACTCAAGTACTGATTAAAATTTTGGACATAGATGATCATTTACCAGAATTTGAGAGTGCCAACATGACTGTAGGAGTCAGACTGAATGTGCCTATAGATACTATGATAGCTTCTGTCAAGGCTACTGACAAGGACCCTGATGCAAGACCTATTGACTACAGTATCGTCAACATGACTTTTGTGTCACCGATTAAGGGCAAATCCTTGGACAATATCACTGATGTAATTGTTCTAAACAATATGACTGGAGACTTGAAGATTATGAAGAATTTGATACATTATGCCGATGGTATATTTAGGTGAGTTTCTAGAAAAGATTTTCTTCTAGTAGGTACCTATCTCTATTAGGCTCAAAAAGGAGAGATAAAAAAGTATATTATATGGAATGCTTAATACATAATTTGGTTTCAGATTGATCGTACGCGCTAATAACACAAATGATCCGGAAAGATTCAGCGATATTCTAATAGAGGTACTTCTTAACTTATTTGAAAACTAAATAAACATGCAAATCGTACGATTTATATGCAAAAAGTATTATAAAAGACTACTAATGAGCAATTGCCACTTGATGCATAGTTCAAACAATTTGTAAATAAGTTTATTTGAATATAATTACTGTGACTGATTACGTTATAGTGCATACGTAATTCTTCAAGATTATTTGCTAATCCTTTATAGTCTACTAATGTTTTTGGTAATTGTTGATTTGGATTTCTTTTTCCAAATATTCTTTAAGTGTTATTTATTAGACACGATATGTGTATGTTTATGTGATTGTATATACCAGTAATATATTATATAAATATCCGCTCAATAAAACAAGACTAGTTAGTTACTATCATAATTTTCATTAAAATTCATTATCATTATAAATGTGAAACTAATAGTTGATTGTGCAATTAACATTATTCAGTAATACAGACACTAGATTTACTGATAATTTCATCACTTTAAACCTAATACTGCGAAACCCTTAACTGTTTACACCATCAATATATCAGCCACTTCTCCAACCATCCCCACTAAATAATTATGTTAATAACATAACATAACATCACGCTTTTTTATCCTCGAAGGGGTAGGCAGAGGTGCACATTATGGCACTTAATGCCACTATACAATGTAACACCCACTTTTCACTATTTATGTTATGAGTCCCATGTAATATTTTTATTTATTTCTTTTTTTTATTTTATTTATTAATTAAAATTATGTTAATATAGACACATTATTATTGAATGGTCATTTCGTAGGTCGTGGTAGTAAGAGAACGCGACCTCCTCCGGCTGGTGATGCCTGGTGGGACCAGACAGAAGTACGCTGACCTTCGGGACAGGATGTCGGCTGCTCTCGCACAGAAAGGTCTTCGAATGCAACTTCACGATGCCAACACAGCATTCTTTGCTAATCCAGGGTAAGATGTTAATGCTTAACCACGATATAAGTAAAAAGGTTTTTGAATATTGCTTGGTATTTAAATACCAGCAATTCACCTTGACCAAGACTTGTGATATGTTCTTAATGTTTTCTATGTAAATAGAGCCCTTTACATCTAAGAGTACCTAGGGAGACCATAATTCTGATATTTGTTTGAACGCTTCTAAAATGAGGCTCATGGGACACCTAGCTTAAGTGATAAAATATTGATTTTAATATTTGTACCTATTTATTGATTATTTTGTAACTACAACTACGATACTACACCCATTTTCATTACGTGCTTATCTTTTCGAAGATTAAAAGGCGTGACGTTATTTCATTAAACAAAAACCTACAATCAAAGCAGTGTAGTATCATAAGAAACTAGTCAAGATCATGATAAATATTAATGTAGGTACTACCTATGTATAATAAGTTTAGAAAAAACTGTATTGACAAATCACACTTAGTTAATGTATCTATCTAAACTTTGAAATCTGGTCTTCAAGTTAATATCAAGGTTATAATAGCTTGGCTATCTGTTTATGTCTATGTGATTATGATAATGTACCTAACCGATGAATCTATCATGGACCTTATTATTCGTACCAAAAATCGTTGCTGTGTCTATGGTAAAAGGTTTTATGTATGAAACTCAATTTGCTAAATTGAAGTAGGGTGTACTTTTACTTAAACTGTCAAACACCGCGAGGACACCGGTGACCGCAACCTATTGTTCTTTAATTGTGTCTATAATGACGGTACTCAAAGGGTTAAAAAAGGAGGTTCTCAATACGACTTAGCCTTTTAACGTGTTTACAATTAATTAGGTCTTAAAATTACTTTAATATATACCTTCTTAGTTATTATATTCAGATATTTAGACAAAAACTACTAATACATCATTAAAAAATTATATTCTGTTTGTTATGAACTAAGCTGTTGTAAGTTTTTGCATGGTTGACCCCGGGTTATGTACAAATGTTAACCACAATATATGCAAAATTTAATTATTTGGATATTGCACAAAGAAATAACAAACATAATATAACGTCATTCCTTATTTTAATCCATGAAAGAGTATCAAACTAGTGCATAAAGCTCATGTTACTATATTACACCCATTTCCAACAGTTGTGTAACGAGTCCCATGTTATAAATGGAGTGAGTCGTTTACTAAATCATAACAAAACATTACTCCTTTTATCCCCGAAGAGGTAGGCAGAGGTTCACATTACGGCACTTAATGTTACTCTACAATGTAACATCCACTTTTCACTATTTATGTTATGAGTCCCAGTTTACTATATCCCGGGCACAATTCCACTGTCCATGAAATTACTAAAAAAAACACAATAATGCTCGATAGAGTTACAGTGACCAATCAACCAAAGAGTTGCCTAATCGATTCGAAAAAACGTCTAATATTAAGTTGTCTTGTTCACAGACCATGCTTCCAATTTAGGAAAACGGATTCCGGCGAAGCTTTAACCCCTAAAGCCATGAAGGCAACCATACGTGCCCTAGGAACTGAGTTCCAAGAGATCCTTGAAAACTTCAATGTGCACAACATCACCAGCTGTGGCGCATCACGAACGAAACATTCGCCAGCACAACATGCATTGCTGGCTTTGGCTGGAGTACTGCCGTTTGCAGCGTTCATAGCCACTCTTGTACTATGTTGCATGCATTCTAGTGGTAAGTTTTCGTCATATATCTGTTCTTATATTTCTTTTGTGCTGTTTTTTACACAACAACATGAAAAATGAACTTTAAAATAATCGAATCTTTCCACTTAGTTAATATGAAAAATATGATGGCTATTCCTGAATATGAATTGTATTCTAGGTAGATAATATGACATGGCATAGAGGAGTCGCCGATTTTAGTTCTAGGCTGGCAGCTCGTTCAAAGCAGCACTGGTGCCATAAAATCCCAAAAAATTTTAAAAAGTATATAATTCAAACATTAAACTAATATATTTTTTTCAAAACGTAGGTAAATATGCCTTATTATGTTTGAATTACAAAATCATATATTTAATCGTTGTATTTACCGCTTCAGCACTCCTTTGGACGAGCCGCCATTTGGAGACAGTCACAGATTGTTGATGACGATGATGATTATAGTTCTGCTGTCGATCTCATGTCATAATGACACATCATTTATCTGTAGGTAGATACCTATTTTGAGTGAGGTTAAGAGTCAGTTCACGCACTTGAACCAAACATGTTTAAACATAAGTATTTGACTACACTTGTAATAAGTACCTTTTTGGAAAAACCAACAAACTATGCAAATTTACGTCAAGGGTTCCAAATTAGAATTATGATGAAAAATTGTATTTGGTTCTTATGATACGTATATTATGTGTGAACGATTGACACAAAGACTTTAGCCTAACCATTATATTGCTATCATCATAAACATGGTAAATGAAATAATAATACTTATACCATATAAAAAATATGCCACATATTTTTTACTTAAAGATAGCATCATGTGGCATTATCATGATACACCTTGTGTACACCATGTGTACCTGTAGGTAGTAGGTTCATACATATAATGATTGTACTCCGACAGTACTGAAGGTACACAAATATTTTTCTCTTTATTATCATTTTAAGAAAACAAAATGTTCAAAACTACACATACGCTACCTCTTAGGACTTCGAAAGCGATCTGCATCCAGCTATATTACTTATGCCTTTAAGTAGGTAGTACTCCTAATTACAATTCTTCTCTTGCAGCCAAGAAGAGAGCTCGTGAAGCCCTTCTAATAACAAGAGAACCACCGCCTGTAGCTGCCAGTAACATATCAGTGCCCACAAGGTTATATGCAGAACCTCTATATACCACGTGACGGAACTACAAAAACTGAGCTCTAAAACTATTGTACAAAAGGTTGGTATTACAATAGTCTATTGAATTTTATGGAAATGTAAACAGTGAGATATCGCTGGATTTGTGTCTGTTTAAAATAATCTCGCAACCAACTACAATTTTGGTATTTGGCAAAGTATGTAAGATCTAAGAACGTTAAAAGTGAACTCTGATTATCGTTACAAATTAATTCATTAGCCAATAAAAACAATATGAAATAAAAATTTTACTATTTCAGATTTTATTTAAGTCAAAGCAAGGCTGCGCAAATATGTAGTTCCCACGTGTGAAACGAGACACCGGGGTGGTCCCCAGGCGACGATTCTCGATGCCCCCTTGGGCTTTATGAGAATTTTCCATCATAGGGTGAAAAATAATGTAATAGGTAATATATAAGAGTCTGTTATGCTTGTGTCATATATGTAAAGGTAAAAATAACATATTATACAAAATGTTAAAGAATGAGTGAGATTATGATTAAACCATTTTGTTGAATTATAAAAAAATACAACTTTGTTGATAAAATTAGGCGAAATCTAAATTATTTTTTCTTCTTAATTGTTTTCTAATTACATGTTCAAATAATGAATTAATTAATGTAAATAATAACATCTCTAGGAGTCAATGTACTTGACGTGTTTCTGTTTATTGCCTTTTATATTCATTGAACTCTAAACATAACTAAGATCACATCAATATTATATTGGTAAATATATGAAATTACCGTTAATATATGAATAGTCATCACTTTAATACAAATAAATTGTATTTTCTATCTACTTTCTGAAATAACGTATTCTTCATTTATGTTTTTTGTGTTTTTTTACAGTAAATAAGTAAACAAGATATATATTGTAAATAAATGACGACTATAATTTTATTATAATAAGTGTATAATAAATATAATAATATATTAATTTAATTTATCTAAAGTTTATAGATAGTAATTTTAAAGCTTTGTACAAAATGCGAAATGTATTTAAAATAGTTTTTTACTAAAAATCATTTAAGTTGGTATCACTGAATTACTTATAATATGTTTAAAAATCAACATAGCAATGAACTGTGTTCCGTGTGTAGGTACCCTAAAAGGCTGGAAGGACATATTGGCTGGAGATTGTTTTAAGACAACTTCAAATCTCATTACAAACATAAATTCGCGTAGGTATATACCTTATTGTCGCATCCAGGTCTTAAAAAAGTAACTAATGGATCATACAAAATATAATTTTGCGTTCGAGAATAGAAATACAATGTTTGGAAATGAAATTACGTTCATAACGATAATACCTATTAAAAAAAACCACATCGCAAAGCTTGAGAGTAAAACCGCGGGTAATAGTTAGCGAAAGCCAATATTCATTTATAAACAAACGACTCTTGCCATACGGAACGAATAATTATGTAATGTAAAATATAAAAATGTTTGTTGCCATTAAAAAAAACTATTATTGCCAAGTTGGTCTAATGTTAGTATATTATGCCCAAGTCAGTACAAAATAACTATGATCTATTGTACCTATATCAAGTAAAATGTTAAAAGGCATATTTACGAACACATTTTTGGAATTTAATAATAGGTAAATGTACCTATGTATATATGTAATGTAATTACCATATTTATTTATAATTAAATATTTAAAAATATATTAACTAAGTATGGAAAATAAATAAAGAGGATAATAAATGTATTAAAACTGTGTCATGATAATAATAATAGTGTTATAGTAAATTAGAAATATTTTAATAAGTTTGTACGTCTTACTCACGTAATTATTCAACGAGTTTATTCAACTGGTTTCGAACCATAATTGGAGCTCGTAATCATGTGTGATAAATAACTGACGTAGCTGACGTCACACAGCTAATCTTTTTAACTTTTTGTTGGCCCTTGTGAAGGCTTGAAACCAGTTGAGTTACTTCGTCGAGGAGAAGTGAAGTGCAATCGTACAATTTAATTAATTGGATATTTTTATAATATTTTAATGTAAATATTTTCTTTTATTTATGTCACAATAACAATTTATATTCTGTATATTATTGCGATGTTTAACATGAAAAGAAAATGTATGAGTATAAAGATGACTTTTTATAATATATCAAGAATAAAACTTGTGTTTAATTTATCTTATTTTCTATTAATAATCGGTAAACATTATAACATTCGGTTAGTATTATAATTAAGATGTATATAGTTAAATAAATTATTATCAACACGAACGTATGTATGAACAATATTGTACCTAGAAAATAAATACTTCCATAATTTGAAACTTTTTTTTTGTTTTACAGTATATCTTTAAATAGCAGGAGCTACTGAAATTCTTCTATACCATATTCGTTTAAAATCTAAATAGGTATATAAAAATGAAACCCGTTTCCTGTTGTCACGCCATAACTTGAGAACAGCTAGACCGATTTGGCTGATTTTTTTGTGTTGCTTTAGGTCAGGAGAAGGTTCTTATGTCATAAAAAAATCCTGAAAATCTTACGGGAACGGCAGAAAACGGGATTGCGCGTACGAAGTCGCGGGCAGAAGCTAGTAACACAATAAATAAAGACAATTTGATTTGAAAGTGCAGGTGCATATTAAATCCGTAAGAAACCTTAACTAGGAGGCAAATAATGCACTTTTCCCGGCTCGTCATGAAAAGTTATTTAAATATTTTGTAAGTCGTTCCGTGGCCGCATCGTTAAGCATAAAGTACATCAACTAGTCGAACAACTTCAGTACGATACACAATTTCCGACCGCAATATAACTAACCGACGCGAAATCGTTAACTATCAGTGTAATTTCAATCGGCATTGACGCTGGCACGATGTACGGCATTTTACTAGTAGTAGCATTAGTTATTATTATCGCACTAGTTGTCGGTATACACCAAAAGAACACGAACGCAGTATGCCTCTCCAGAAGAAGATTAGAAGGAAAAACTATTATAGTCACAGGTGGAACCGCAGGAATGGGCCTTGAGATGGCCGTAGATTTCGCCAACCGTGGGGCCAGGGTCATCATAGCGTGTCCTTTTGAAGATGAGGGTAAAAATGCAAGGAACCTCATCATACAACAAACAGAAAATCAAAATATTATATTCAAATTACTAAACCTTGCATCCTTGAAGTCTGTGCGACAGTTTGCCGCGGATATCCTGAGAACTGAAGGTCGATTGGACGTTTTAATAAACAACGCTGGAGTGGGAGCACCCAGGGACAAGTTGACTCAAGATGGACTGAACTTCATCATGCAAGTCAATTACTACGGAGCCTTTTTATTGACACTTTTACTTCTCCCTCTGCTCATAAAGACAGGAAAGCCTGGTGAACGGAGTAGGATACTATTGACAACGTCAGTACTACATAGAATTGGACAAATGGATTTTGATAATATGAACAAGACTGACTACTGGTACAAGATACAGATATATGGTAATAGCAAACTGTGCCTTATACCTTTTGCTTCTGAACTGTCGAAAAGGTTAGAAGGCACCAATGTTGTTGTGAATAATGTGGATCCTGGAGCTGTCGGTACGAGAATATTTGATTCTGGAAGCAAAGTATTAGGATTTTTCCTAAGAAATATTATAATAAATTTATTCAAAACTCCGTGGCAAGGAGCTCAAACAGCGTTGTATGCTGCTCTAGATAAGAAAGCTGGTGAAGTGAGTGCAGCGTACTTTCGCAACTGCGGCCTAGCTAGGGCCGTGAACAGGGCGTATTGTGAAAAAACTGCAAAAATCCTGTGGGAAGAATCTGTGAGATTAGTGCAATTAACGAACGAAGAAGTGGAACAGTGTTTTAAGTCACTATAAATCTGAGTGTGTGTACAGTAGTATTACATGTGAGTCTAGGCGTGTAATGAATGATAGACGTCGCTATCAATATTTTGTTACGGGACATGGCAGCAAATTAATGAGTTGACGGATCACCTGATAGTAAGCAACCAGCGTCACCCATGGACATCCGAGACTCCGGATACATTATACATAAGTGCGTTGTCGGTCCTTCAGGAGTTTGGGTCTTCGGCTGTGATTACCTGAGTTGGGGACATTTTTTTTTTATTCAATTTTTTTTTTTTTTTTATTTAAACTTGAGCTTGACAATGACATTCCTTAATACTCGACTAACAATACTTTGAACATAAGTAAGTTAATATTAAAATGAGTAAAAAGTGAAGATGTTTATGATAGTAAACAGGGAAGTACTTATTTTGTTTTTAGGATGGAATAAATGACTAAAAGTGAACTAACTATTGATTTTTTTGAGAGATCTCAAGTAAGAACCCTTTCGTTAAACCTAGCAGGACGAGTAGTAAGGTTTTTATTGATGACGCGGTGAATCCCCTTTAAGAAAAACTTGGGAGTGTTGGATTCCTATCTCACTAAAACCACCCGCACATGAATCACCATGATCACATATAGTGGGCACAATCCTCTATAATAGACCTGCTCCGGAGCCCCCAAGGTGTAACACCACTAGGTGCCCGCCTAGAGTCCCCATTCTGAGCACCTGTGACCGGTAAGGTAAGCACCTAGGTAATAATATAGTCGTATACACAAACATTAATACTACTTCTTCATTATGATTTTAGGGCAACTAGAAATCGTCAAACACGGTGTATAATTTTAGACTGTATGATTAGCACAGTCACATACCGACCAGTTGCTATGTAAAGCTGGGTTCGATACCCACATGGAATAATTCTTTATACGACGTGTGTTATGTTATGTGTTATAGAAGGTGCATTATTATTGTTTATGATTTCTTGAACCATAATTCGTTATCAATTAAGGGAAATATTATAACAAGTATTAATGAAATAGTAAACTGCGGTCATTAACATTACATTAAACTTGGTTTATTAAATATGTAGTAATAATATAGCATCGATATCATCTAAAATAACAGGAATGTCGTTATTATTAAAACATTTTTAACGTTATTATTAACTCATTAATATGACTTGTCACTATATTGTCCCACTCAATAATCAAACACTATGGTATTCAGTAGTCGCGGAGAACCTAACGGGTAACCGGGGCTCCGGCTCGACGTGCAGGAGAAGGAACGGGGTGGTTTTTAGTCAGTAAGAGTCTGACACTCCCTTCCGCCTCACCCAGGCGGGAGCAGTCATTCGATGATTTTCCCCACTTAAAAAAAAAAAAAAAAAAAAGGTATTCAGTAGATAAATAAAATGTCATCACTTACTTTCTGTCGACACTTTTCTAATTTCAAGCTTCATTTTAATATATTTTGAGCTATATAATTTAAGTAAAGAAATAAGTGTGATATTTGAATTTACCCTCACACAAGCAAAAGCACACATTTTTGTATTTTTTTCTTACTGTGTTCTTATTGGCATGATATTGTTTAACTCACGAGTTAGTAGTTCAAGGGTCAGGGAATTCTGCTTATTTGTGGTAATTTTTTGTCAATCAAGAATTATTTATTTATTATTATTATATTGCCAGATTTATATTTTTTTTTAATTTCTGACTTTTAATATTCGGAGTCTAAGTATTCAAGAAGTTATAATTTCTAGGCTGTAGGCGATTCCGGTAGGTAATATTTTTCTAATTGAATACGAAACTGACCACTCCAACTCAGGTACAATCAGGTAAGGCCTTTATATAAAAGTGGGGTTTTACAATACCCGCAGGAAAGGTACTGATTACAAACGTGTTGTACTCTATATATTAATATATGTATCAGACTTAGATACATCTTATTTATGTATAAATAAATAAAATAAAAATAAAATAAAACTTTTTTCATATTAACGAAAATGCAAAATACAAAAATATATCTTAAGTACGTACAATTGATCTCACATAGTTAGATGCCTGCACTAGGACAATCCTGTATCGCAGGCGAGAGGAGCTCTAAATATAATTCTTATAATAGGACAGCTTATTTTTCTAATCATAAATACTTATCATTATGCAATAGAAACGATATATTATGATTATTTTAATATACATACATACAAATATACTTGCATAAAAAACAAAATATAACCTCATACTCATACATAGTGAGGTATATCTCTATATATAACTTATTGTAATATAATATACCTAATAAATATACATGATAATTAGAATTCAGTTACAAAATAAAATTATCACTATTGCCGAGGAATTACATACATCAGCAGAAACATATTTATACTTGGCTAAAGTCCATACGGTCATTCACTTGGTTCTTTATTGCAAAATAATAATTGTGCATATACAACAACAGGGCGATGAATAATCATACGTATATCTAATGTGTAGTCATTGTACAAGGGATGGCTAATCAAATCGGAAGTGTGACCTAGACTAGAGTATGACGCATTATGCGCCCTCGTAGTCAATCGAATTGATGTACCTACCTAGCAGGACATTCAGAGTCTCCCGTTTTATCGATTACTTAGGCTTATTAAGCGAGAGGAAGAGGTACATTTAGAGACTTCTACTTTTTCGTGCATGCAGATGTTACATGGCCAATTTCTCCGCAGTGTCCACATGACGAGAGGTCTCTACATGTTTTAGGGGCATGCCCATACTGTTGGCATTTGTAGCACCTGGTAACTAATGTATAATCTCTCATGGGGCAAGAAGTCCAATTAATGTAAATCCTTTCTTGAGCTATGAGGGCTTTGCGGATTTTAGCTGAAACCTGTATGATGAAATTACAGGTCGCTTCATCTTTCTTCCCAGATTTATGGCTCATTTTGATATCAGTTAAAAAGGCTTTCAAGGACATCCCTGGAAATTTTTCAGCTACATTTTCCTCGTAGAAGTACTTTGATACGTCATTATCAGCTAAAGAAGTGGGCACTCCTATAACCGTTATTCGTGGTTGACGCTTGTTGGGCTCACCGGTAATAAGTGCAGATGACGAAAGATTAACAGCCTGCTTCACCCTTTCAACATCTTCCTTGGTCTCAGTGCTAATTATTACAACACCATTTTGAATTTTCCTGACTCCATGTACAATGGACATGTATATATGTACATGTATTTTCATTTGGTCCGGGCGTATGATTTCGGCACCAATGTTTTTGTTTCGTCACTAGATTTTTATTTATTGACAGGATAAATAGCGATTAATATAAATTGAGATTACTAGGTTTTATGTAATGTTTTGACCCTTTTTTCACTATATCAGCAAAGGACACGTTTGTTGTTGCAGTAGAGGTCTTAATTGTTTGTTTTAATTCAACAATTTCTTCTGCGAGGTTTCGTTTTTCATTTAAGTTGTCGATGAAATCGATTGCTTGGTTGGCTTTTTGCTTCAGAGATTGGTACAGGACTGCCATTTGCGAGACATTTTGCGGCTCAGATTACAGATTCTTAGTTTCTGCTCCGAATTCAGTTTGCCTTCCGAGGCAATGTATAAACCCAATGTGACAGTACCGGCAATAAACCTCAATGAAAAGGGGAAAGCATTTTGTACCCACTGTCATATCGAAGTAAGAAACTAAAAAATTAAAAATATACAAATATTAAAGAAATAAAATAAAAATAAATAAAACATCGCCTAAAGCAGTGATAAGAATTTGAATGTCATCTCAAACACAATATTAAGACTACAACAAGAAAAGAGGAAAACACGTGAGTGGTCGTTTTGTTTGCTCAATTTTATTTGCACAAACATAGTTTAAAGTACATCATTCGATTACGACAACATAACGTCACATTTATAACTAACTGCCATGCTGAGACATTTAATGATAACTTAAACTATTTGTTGGTAACGATTTTATTCCGAAAACCATTAGTGAGGAGTGGTTTAAGTCACCATTAAATGACTGAGAACGGCAGTGAGCGGACTAACAACTTATAAATAAAAGTAAGAACGTTTATTTACACGACGTATGTTAATTACATCATCATCATAATATCACGCCTTTTATCCCCGAAGGGTTAGCGCGCTGCCTAAGCAGAGGCACACATTTTGGCACTTAATGCCACTGTGCAATGTAACACTAAACTTTTCAATATTTATGTCCTATTTAGGTACTAGGGGGAGAGCCTATTGCCATATACAAGGCACAATTCCAGACTCTGTGCTACTTCTGAGTCCCACATACATTGCCTACTGTTTTCGGCATGCAAAGTTAAATGTTAGGTACAATTAATAGGAACTAATTACAAAATTCTTACAACGGATAACAGATATTTTATTCTTAACATATCTATTACTACATAGTATAAAACAAAGTCGCTATCCGCCGTCTGTTTGTCCCTATATATGCTTAGATCTTTAAAACTACGCAACGGATTTTGATGCGTTTTTTTTAATAGGTAGAGTGATTCTTAACTCGTCGAGTACCGGTTTTATAGACACAATTAAAGAACAATAGGTCGCGGTCACCGGTGACCGCTTGGTGTTTGACAGTTTAAGGAAGGTTTATATGTATAACACATGCATATTGCACCCGTGAGACCCGGCTTCTCAGGGTACTCGGCTACCCGGGTTGCTAGTATATAAATAAAAATAAATTTCTGTTCATTAGTCTCGCTAAAACTCGAGAACTCAGCTGTATCGATTTGACTACTTTTGGTAATGAAACGTTCGTGGACGTCGAGGAAATGTTTAAAAGGTAAGAAAAGCAACTCTTCGGCGAAACGAAGTTTGCCGGGTCATCTAATATTAATATTTCTCTCAATTATTGACATAGATACTTATTAATATTTTTATAATAACTATCGTGACACATACTGAATTAACTAAAATCCCGGGTCTTAGTTTATTCACGTGAGTAACCCGCGCGATTTTAGTTATTACTTATTAATATCATTTTAGTGACTTTAATATTGCA